GGGGGAGGTAGAGCGTTGTGGTTCTCGCCCAGGCGATGCTGTTTGGGTTGGTTTGTTAGTGGTTTTTGTTTTGGAGGGGATGGGATGACGTACGCGCCCAGGATAATGGAGACGGTTGTACACTGTGGGTTGGTTAGTTTGGTCTGTTTTTATTTGGTGTTGGGATTTGTACCAGGAAGAGAATGGGTAGGAGTAGCTGCATTGTTGCTAGTGATAGGTCTTGAGACGAGATTCTTTGATGGTATCGAGTCTTGGTGTTTTGTTGGAAGGAAAATCAATAATGGAGATGGAGGTGAGTTGGATCATGTGCGGGGTTATCCCTTATTGATGTAAGAGGCTGTGGCATGCAGGGGCTGCATATAGCTGCAGATATGGGTGTAAAGGCCCTTGAACTATGTACTCGATGATACTACGAAGACTAAGGGTACTCAAAACACGAAACAAAGATTATATTGCGGTGGTTGTGGCAACCTGTTCTAAGAACATGCCAAATCCAAGTGCTGATAGAGCCATGTCAACAAAAATAAATCAGAGGCTATAAGAAGCCATAAGAAGCGGAGAAGGAACCAGTCGACATATAAAAAGGAAAGATGACCCACATCTTGATAAATTCCTTCTCCTACTCGGGGTGGGGAAGATTGCTCCCTCCCCCAGAGTATAGCTTCGTTTCCTCTCATGAATCTATCAAGATGCCAAAGGAACTCCAGTGTCGATCAGAAGATCAGCCCTACCCACACTGGATCCTGGTCAAGAAACTCGTTTGCCTCAGACACGTTCAGAGCTCTCCTGAATGAGAAGATAGAATCTGCCTCTCGACATCTTCTCAATGCTCTCTGACAGATGGCGAAGATCGCCACGGTTGAAAATCCACAAACAGCCTGATAGTATGCTGCACCTGCAGCCCCAGTCTTCGACGTGGTGATGACTACTTTGACCGCGTTGTCCCTGCCTTGTACAATGTTGAAATAGTACAGTGGGATGTCGACGTCGTTTCCGTAGATAGCTTCGGAAAAGAGGTGTCCGAGGCAAATCCGAGGTGTGTCAAGGCCCATTGGTTCCTGGACTGGCTGCAAAGGACGATGCTGGGTGTCGATTGGCCAGATCCAATCAAAGAAGGACCTCAGCGTGTCCATTTCACTCCGCAAAAAATGCTTCAACAGTCGGTACATGAAGAAGCGGTACAATTCATGAGAGAATTGCGCGTGGAAGGTGATAATGTTCACCACGCGCAAGGAACAGGGGGTTGAGACGGTGTAATAGGTATCACCATTGAGCGGAATGGATGCCATATTATCACCACCGAGCAATCTGGTAACATCAGAGGTGCTGCTCAGGGAATCGTCTCTTAAAGAATCGGGATGAGTCCAGGGCTGAGGCCCAAGAGCTCCTGATGTCGGGAAGGTTTGCCGGCCAGCCGAAACAGGGGCACTCTTGGGTTTCTGTTCATAGATGGGACTCTTGATTCCAGTCGATCGGATCTGAGACATTGTAACGTCAGATGAATCTTCCGGCTCTAATGTCCTAAGAACAGGTTAGTTGCACTTGCACTAAGAACGACAGCCCCAAACGAAGCACATACTGATAGAAGATGAGCTAGGATAGCGAACTTCTCGAAGATCTTGACTGTTTTGGTTTTATGATGGCAGTGTCTTTGAATCAGCGACCACTAAGTTGATAGTCGAGATCAAGGGACGAAGAAAGAGAGAGAACGAGTGTCTTTATAGCCATGGCTAGATGGACGCCTGCCCTCCACCATCCACACTGGAAAAGATATTTTTGAGAAAAAAGCAGACAGTCCAGCATGAAAATTATCACGCATCATGCTTTTCGTTTTTTCTTATTTTTTATTTATTAATTCTTTTTTTTTTTTTT